ATCCCTTGACACGGAACTCCAGCCAGCACTCCGGCCCACCAGGCTTCACTCCTTTAGGCCACAGGCTGGCCTTCAGAAGGCTGGGGAGTTTACACACCCATGTGAAGTGAAAAGCCTGCAGAGGCGGCAAGGCCAGAGGCATGGAAATCAGGGAAAAGAAGACAAGGCATGAAATTTGGGCACAGATGTGGGGACAAAGGGTGTTGACACCCACCTCACAGGAGACACCCTAGGAATGATGGATCATACTCATCACACATACACCAATGTGCTCGGTGTACATGCAAAGTCTCCTTGCTTCCTTGTCTTTATTCTGCACATCTTTGGTATAGTATTAACATGACATTTGATGCTCACGGTTATAAAGAGACCAGACTGCATTTGTGTACCTGCTCTTTCTGGCCCTGTCCTTCCCCAATTCTCTCCTTATATGTCCTCAGCTTGTCACTTGGCATTTTTACCCCATTCCCTTTCTTCCAATGACATGTCTCTACTTTTCCAGCCTAGCACAGTTTGGCCTGCCTGGCAATTCCCTTCTCTTGGGTTTCTCCTGGGAATATCCTAAAATGTTAGAAAACACAATGTTAAGAGCTTCCAAAACAGGATCCCCAGACCTGCACCACAGCATCCTCCCAGGCAGTGCTGGGCTCTGGTATTTTCTGGGAGATCCTCTTACACACCCCAGCCACATGTGTAACTTTGAAGGAAAGCCATTTAATAAATGTCTGCAATTAGATTTCACCCTGGGGCAGGAATGTGATTACTTTGGTAAGAACCTTACCGAATGGGGGCTCCGAAATATCACTACTGGGGTTCAGATCTCAGTTTTACCACTTCCTAGTTCTGGAGTCATGGGTAACAAGATACTCAAGCTCTCTAAGCATAGTTTTCTCAAGTACAAATTGAGGAGAATTATTTTGACTATGTCGTGGAGTCATGGAGAGGGTTAAATGCAATGACCCAAAGTAATAAAAAGCTGGACTAAGTGCCTGGTCCAGAGCTAGTGCCCAAAAAGGAACAGCTATTATTGTTAATACCAATTATCAGAAGCAATTAACGTGTATTCTACTTACCAACCCCTGTTGCTTTATCACCTTCTTTGATGCTTCCTCCACAATTCTAAGACACGGAAGTTGATTGCTTTTTAACCAGCTGATTTCCAAGAAGAGAGACTAATGTCTTAATGCAAAATATGTCGAGTAAGCATTTTTATTTTGGTTGCCTTTGGGGAAGGGTGGGAAGGCTACACTTTGAGCTTTTGCAAATCAAAGTCGCAGAGGTGGGTTTTTTTAAAAGGAGTACTTGCCTTGCTTGGCAGCCAGAGTTCAAAGCCCTGGTGGGGAAAGGTAAATGCTAGGCTTTAATTGTAAATGAACTCTCCAGCAGCAAGGGGTATAGAGTCAAGTAAACATCTAACAACTGATTCTGCTGCTATCAGTAATCTTTTAAAATCCAGAGCCTTCCCCCTCCCATTCTGTAGACAGATTTGAATTGAAGTAGTACATCTTAAGGAAAGCTGACTGAGGTCATGAGTAAAGGGGTTACTCACAGGGCTATCCCCACAATTGACTTCTCCCTCTTTGTCACCAAGCTGGGCCTTATGAAGCTGTCTCTTTGGCAGTATGTCCTATTCCATGGGCTGGCCCAAACTGCAGGGTCTTACCTAAAGAATTTAAGTTTATTTCACTTCAGGAACGTAAGATGTTTATCACAGGTGCTTTGACATGGCTCTTCATATTGTCTCCCTATGCATAAACAGCAAATTCTTTCCATATTAACACTGCTCAAGGCTTGGGCAGCAGCCCGAAATTGTGCTGGAATTATAGGCCACTTTGTTTGTGGAATGGCTTGGGGAAGCTTGGCACCATTGATTTGCATCAGTGCCTCCGAAATAGCCTTTGCCTTCTCCTTAAAGATACTATCTAAACTGTGAAATTCATTAAATAGCCCCAGAAATGGATCAGGTTATTTAACACAACATCCCTAATGGCGCAATATCTCAGCTGTCTGCACTGATAGTGAACATTGTCTTGGATAGTGTTATCAGCCCAGGACACCCGCTATGAATATTGATCCCAAGCTTGTTACAGCCATCACTTGCCATCAGGACAGGTCAGGGTTGGAACCCACCTAGCATCAAAGCAATTTAAAGACAGCACTCAGGCAGAATTTTAATGCCCACGCTGAAGAAACAAATCAACTGCATGCACAGAGGGAAGGTGGCTTGCTGGTTATGGATATATTTTTACATAGAAATACCTCGGAGATAAATACGTGTATGAGGCCAAACTGCACCTACAGGAGGTCTCACTGCTTCCTGGTCATTTACAAAGCAGGTGGCCTGAAAAACAATTCCTTAAGGCCCCCCTTCCCTCACCAAATTGAAGAATCTACCCTGTTATTTGGGTGGGGGATTTCTCTTTAAGTTGAATGATAAGAGGGAGCATTTTCTATTCCTTCAATGTTGATGGGAGACTGTGTTTCTTTTGTATCATCCATTTCCTGAGGCCAAATCTATAACCGTTGCACTGAACACACACACACGAGAAATGTAGAAAAAAAATAAAGGGCACGAAAAATAAAAAATAACTAAAAGAAGTTCTTAAGATTCAGTCTTAAAGAAGATAACCTTTATGTGTTCTTGACTTTCTTTCCAATTTATTGCTTCTTTTCTGTGTTTAACACCTGTGGACCTTAAAGAAAAGATGATTTCTATCACTGAAACAAAAATTTTGAAGGCAGTTTATAAAGTGAAATGAAAACGACCCTGTTCGGGCCGCTCTTGGCTGTCTGCAGCCTTCCCTGTCCCTCTGGTTTGGGATATGGGGTGCCCTCTGGAATTCCAGCCCACCTTCCTGTGATAACGGCTTCAAGGTTTCTTACGGGAGAGTAGGTGGAGGGCCCATGGAAGCCACAGTATGTCCACTTGGGAGCTACCTTAGGGAGATCTATTTCTACCCTGAAGAATGGAAACATGAAAAAATGTGAACATGGGTGGAAAGAAATAAAAGGGGCCTAGGAGGAGGGCGAAAGAAAAGGAAGATTTAAAAACAAGTGAGGACGAGGTGGGAAAGTTGTTGAAACTGAAAGCTAAGTAGTCTGTGCAGTTAGGTTCTCTCATTGGCAATCCAGGTTCCTGGGTGCCGCTGTTGAGTGATAGGGCTGCCGCCTTTTCTTTGGTCTCCACAGGGCAGGCCTTCCCTCGGGTGGGAGTGGTCCAGTAGGCTTGGGCAGGGCACTCACTTTGAAGGCACAATCCATCTTCACTGTAAGACTGCAGCAGGCTTGAATTTCGGCAGCGCTTTCAAGTCCACTGGGGAATACGGGGGCCGCCTCTGGGCGGGGCCCAGGGTTTGAATGAGAAAAGCTACAAGGAGCTGCTGGCTCTTGAGGCCTTCTCTTCAATAGCAGACAGGATTAGCTGCCCCCGCCCCACTTTAATGAGAAGGTTTCTCCTCTTTCTACTCTTACCTTCTTGGACAATATTAATTGCCAAGTCATTGTTTGGAAACCCCATGGGGTCAGAGAAGAAAGGAACAGCTGAGTTAGAAGTGGTTCTGGCAGAGCGGTAGGAGAAGCCTCAGAATCTGCTGCCAGGATAAGATGCTTAGTGCTCACAGACTGCTCCCCAAGGGACAAAGGAAAAAGAAGATTAAGAAGGTCCTAGATAGGGGAAGCTTCCCCAGGGACTGAGGCTCACTATTCCTTGGGTCTTGGTGGGGCAGAGAGGGCCATTTCAATCATCTGTTCCATGACCTTAAATTCAAACCAGACAAGCATCTTTTAACCTTCCTCATCTTGGGGCGGGAAGGGCATGGGGGGTGGGGGTGGTCAATGATGCAGTCTGATTCCCACAGACCAAATTCCTGTTGCAAGTGATTGAACCTGTGACTGTAAAGAAGGTCTGAAGGGCATTAAGGGTTGTGCTTGGCATCTCAGCAAGTCAGGGCAGCTCCACCCCCATCTGGCTCACCTGCCTTCACCAGGGCATCTCACCTGGCTCTGTGCCTGGGACCCGCCAAGATGTCCAAAGCGAGGCAGCACCTTGACCTCTCTGCCAACCCCTGCTGCACTCTGACCCAGCTCACTCCAGGGTGGAAGGGGAAGCCTCAGACACGGCAGGATTTTCTTCCTCCATGTCTGAGGGAACAGGATGAACCGAAAAGGGTACGAGTCCGAGAGAAAAAGCCCTGGGTTCGAATCGAGCCTGCCACCAATCAACAGTGGCCCCAGCAATCCACTTCCTAGCTTTGAACCCCAATTTCCTCATCTTTAAAAAGGGGATAATAGTCTTACTAGGAAACGTCCACCCCACAGGGATGTTCCGAGAATCAAATGAGATCGTGCAAACCCAAAGGCTTTGTAGCTGCAAATTTTGAAAAGGAGAGATTTTAAATTCGAGATGACCGGGTCTGAGGCCATCACTGTGATTCACGGGCGGGAAAGGAGATATGCTGAATGTTGCCTTGAAGTAATCAACGCTGGCCTCAATTGCATCCCCAATTCAGGGGCGCGTGCACTGGGGAAAAAGCGCAAGCCCAAGCTCAAATCACGCTTTGTGTGTCTGTGTGTCTGTGTTTGCGGGGTCCCCCGGACGAGAGCGTCCCGCCCTCCCTCGCTGGCTCACACCCGGAGTCCCAGTGGGTTGTGCGGGGGCGCGCGGAACAAGCGGCGCTGTCCGGGCGGGCGCGCGCACCGGCCGCGTAGAGGCTCCCCCGTGGCGAGGCGAGGAGCCTCGGCGCGGGGCCGGGCAGTCTCTGGGCTGCTGCGAGCGCGCCCAGTACGTGGCGGGGGCCTGGGTCGTGCGAGTGCCAATCCGTGCGCAGCCCCCCGGAGGCTCTCTCCCGGCCCCGCCTCCGCATCACCCTCCCCAGCCTCTCTTGGCCGCCCGGGTCCTCCCACCGGCTGGAGAGCTGCGGCCCAGGCACTGCCCCAGGCAAGCCCCCAGCGCGGCCATCCCGGAGCTCGCGCCGCCGGCCTCCGGCCCGCAGCCGGCGGGCATGCTGGCATGGCAGGACGGCGGGGCCAAGGCGGCTCCCTCCCACCACAAGATCTCCTTCTCTGTCCTGGACATCCTGGACCCGCAGAAATTCACCCGCGCTGCGCTCCCGGCCGTGCGCCCTGCTCCCCGGGAAGCCAAGAAAAGTTTGGCAGAGGGCGAGGCGGAGAAGGACGCCAGTCCGGGGGATCCGGCCCAGCAGCGAGAGACTCCTGGTAAGGATGCCAGGCGGCCTCCGGCCCCGGGAAGCCCCAGCCCAGATGACGCGAAGGGGAGGTGGGGGCAGTCAGGGGCCGGGTTTAGGGCCTTTAGTGGCGCCTTCCCCAGAGGGAGAAGGCGCACAAGACGAAGTGCGAAGTGTTGCCCCCGTCACGGAATTGAATTGAGGCAGAAAAGAGGCCCTCAGCTCCCTGGATCAGAGGTTTGCCTACCAAAGCCCTTCCTCGCTCACCGCCAAGTGAGTAAAGCACCACCGCTCAGATTTGCTCGCAGTGGAAACTAACACCCAGCGCCTACCTGATCCAGGCTCATTCACTTATCCGTCATTTTTGCGCCCGCCACGTGCCATGACCTAAGCTAGAGACTGGCAAAAAAAGCCATGAAAAACTTAGGGACCTGTGAGGTAGACAGCGTCATGAATATCGCCCCCATTTTACGGATGAGGCTACTGAGGCAAAATCATGTGCCGGAGACTTAGGAGCGAGGTCAGGTTTAGGCTCCCAGGTGCCCACTTGCAGCCATTCAGAGACACCTGCATAGACTCCACTGTCCCACCTGCCTCCTCTCCCCAGATCCAGCTGTTGACCGGGGCTGGGGACAGGAATGGGGTGGGGGTGACGGGACGCTTTGGTCCTTTCCAAAATCTTTTGACTTACTCCTAACCCTGGCGGACACCTGATGAGGGGTCCAGGAGAGTTTGTGTCTGGAAGAAAGGACAAAAGACGGCCAACACGTACCGGGTGGGACCCGGGCACGAGGTTCCCAGGAGGGACGCTGGGGGTCAGGGGCACAGGTCCTGGAGAGGCTGGAGGCTGCGCAGGCCCTCCAACCCGTGCCTCCCCTCCCCAATTTTGGCGGCGATTGTCTCAGGCTGGGGCGCCTCTGGCGGCTGCGCTCGGGCCCGGGCTGTCCGCCTGGTGATTGTTTGGATCTCCCCTCGGAGGGGCCGTGCTCCCCTCCCCCCACGCCCATGATCGATATTCTATTACTGGAGCCTGCATATCTCCTGCCCGCAGCTTGCAGGTACCGACTTCAAACCCCCTTTCCCTGACTGATCCTAATATTGTTCGATTAAAACTTACCTTTAATAGATGACATCTATCGATCTGGCCCCGCACAAATCTGAAACTCTATTAACACGGCAGGATAGAGAAGATGGGAAAGGGAATTTTACTTTAAAAGGGGAGGGAGAGAGAGCGAAGCTTAATAACTTCTTTTTTAATTGCTAGGAGTTCCAGCCCAAAATAGGCTTCTCGGGACTGGGGAGACACAGCCCCAAAGGCATTTGACATCTGAATGTCTTAATGTACAGTGATCCTACCCTGCCCCCCCTACCCATAAGGTTGTCCAATAAGGTCATTATTTTTTTTCTTAACGTGGGTGTCATTCATTCATTCATTCATTCATTCATTCATTCATTCATAATACATTTCTTGGACTCCTGCCAAGTGGCAGATGAGTTAAGGGCAAGGAGACCCTGCACCCCTAAACCCCAACTCCAGGGAAGGGCTTGCAGGGATGGGGAGTGTGGGAAACGCGAGGCCAGAGAGCCGCAGGGGTTGGGGGCCGCGTTGGGGGGCTGAGCTGCGTGCTGGGGGAAGACGAGGACGTCTGGGGACTGGGACAGGCCGGGTCATTCCAGGCTTCTGGTCACCGCGCCCTTCTCCCCTAGATGTTGTGGACCGAGGCGTGGGCGCGGCGTCCCCCCTGGAAGGCTTGGAGGCAGAGATGGCAGAAGAGGAGGAGGAGGAAGCGGAGGATGCCGGGCGGCGGCGGCGACAGCAGGAACGGGCAGCGGGCCTACTGGCGGACCCGGCGCGCTCCCCCGGGTCGCAGGCGGCGGCGTTGGCGGCCAGGGAGCGCGGCGCGGGCGGCCCCGCGGGGTCCCCAGGCTCCCCGCGGCCCCGGCGCCAGCGCGCCGAGCCCCGCTGCGCCAAGCCCCGGCGCGCGCGCACCGCCTTCACCTACGAGCAGCTGGTGGCCCTGGAGAACAAGTTCCGAGCCACGCGCTACCTGTCGGTGTGCGAGCGCTTGAACCTCGCGCTGTCGCTCAGCCTCACTGAGACGCAGGTCAAAATCTGGTTCCAGAACCGCAGGACCAAGTGGAAGAAGCAGAACCCCGGAGCCGACGGCGCGGCCCAAGCGGCAGGCGGCGCGCCCCCACCGGGGGCAGCGGCAGGGGCCGGGGGCGGGGGCGGCACGGGGGGCAGTCCCGGCCCGCCAGGCCCTGGCGCGCTGCCCTTCCAGAGTTTCCCCTCGTACTCGACGGCTAACGTTCTTTTCCCGGCCGCCGCCTCCTTCCCGCCGACGGCCGCTGCCGCGGGGGCGCCTTTTGCACCCTTCCTGGGACCCTCCTACCTGACCCCTTTCTATGCCCCGCACCTCTGAACCCGGAGCCCCTCCGGGCCTCACTTGTTGACTCACGGACTCACGCGAGATCGGTGGCGTCGTGTGGTCCCCACCCCACCAAGGGGCGCCGACGCGCAGGGGCCGCCCCCTCCCGGTGCGCGGCTGTCTGCGCGCCTCCTGGCCTCCAGCTGCGGGGAGGCGCCGCCAGAGGGCGAGGAGAGGCCGCCTGCTGCCTCCCGCCGCGCCTACTCGCTGCGTCCACGCGGGCCGAGAGGGTCAAGGATCTGCCATCTGTGAAGGTGTCCGGAGACTGAGGCTGTCCTCAGGTCTTCCCGCTTCTGGACCTGGCTCTTCACTTTGGGTCAGGCTTAGCTCAGTTCAAGGGCTCCTTTTAAGAGTCTGGGTGTTCCGCGCGGGGTTAACAAAGCTGCGGGGATGGACACGCGAGGGCGCCAGGACCTCCTGCCCGCCAGCCGCACACACCTGGGACGGAATCTTCAAAGATTTTAGCTCACTCAGAGGGTAAGGAGCTTTTCCTTTTCATAGCTGATTGTTTACCTTTTCATACTCGACCACTGGCCCAAATCCAGCGATTCCTCCGTATACTGAACAGAGCTGGGGAGGGCTGGGTCCAGGAGCACACACTGCCGCTGTGAAAGGGACTATTTTTTAAATCCGTAAAACTACATTTTTAGATCTTTACTTAAGATTCCGACTTGAACACAGTTTTTGTTCCCAACAGACTCCCCCACAGGTTATTCCTGAGAGAATGGGTACCTTATTTTCCTGAGAAGACCAGAGGTTTGTACTAGGAAGTGTTAAGAGCTGTGCAGCGAAACTTACTTGCTAAAGTGGACACGGTTCTACTACACCCCAAGTTTTGAGAGCAGCTTTGAGAAACCAGGCAATGGCCCCAAGTGCATAAAAATGAAACTGAAGTGACCATTGGCTCAACAAAAACCTTGAAGTCTATGCATGAGACTGCTTATTTGTATTTGTAGTATTTGATACTCTGAAACCTGAGTCCTGGCTTCTACTGTATCTGTCCCAGCAATTCCTGGGCTCCTAAAGAGAGAACAAAGGAGACAGAGTTAGCTCCTCCAGCACATGCTACAGTCAGGAATTGGACTATTTTTTAAAAACACAAACTCAACATTTTTAGAGCTGCATTAAGATTCTGACGAAAGCAATTCTTGTTCTAAACAGACTCACCATGATGGTGAACAAGCATCAGGTTGTAAGGAGCTATGAAAGAAATGATTCTTGGGGTGTAAAACCCTATTGTGGAAGCAAAAAACCACATTCACAGTGGATTCAACGGACTGAATTTAATGTAAGGACATTCTTTCAAACTGCTGCTTTTACTGTCTCCCTTTAAAAATTAGCTCTTCTGTAGAATTCTTGCTAGCTGTGTTGGGAATACTCTTCTTTAGTTTTCTGTGTGATATGGGTTGTAGCCACTAACTCAGAAACCCAGATGTTCCTAACAAGGTCATGTGTATTTCATTCTCCCAGAGAAATGATCTGGTTACTTGAGGCCTGCTGATGTCTATATGGCTACCATAATATTTCTTGCTGTTTCTTGAAAGCCTGTGCCATTAGTTGTTACATTTAATGATCAATGGCGTCTTAGAAAGTAAAAGCACACCATTCGGTATTATGAACACATGATATTATTATAATCTTGAAAATCTAGTTCTGTTATTTTAAGGAATGACAGAAAATATTTCCCCCCTCTCCGAAATTAAAGGAAGACTTCATATTCATTTGATTCTCATAAGATTTGGGAATATGTATTATTTAACTATGTATTTACTAATTAGACTCTTTCCCTTCTAAAGAAGAAATGTGTCCTGAAACGAATTGTAACTTTCTAAAAGGTAATTGGTGCCACATGAGATTAAGTGCAGTTTCTGTAATAGAGAACATTTTATTCACTTCACATGTTGATAAACATTCCCTTGATAACTAGTCCTTGGTTTCTCAAAAGCAACTTTTCAAGTGTCAGGAATAGGGAATTCAAGCACACCGAGGCACGATCAGCAACCAAGAAACCGAATTTCTGTAAGATGTGGGAAACATTTCATTGCTCTCAGGTACCAGAATGTCAGAAGACTCCAGATGGAGAGAGGAACTAGGGAGGGAGGCAGGAAGCTTGTCTGTAGACTCGCAAGGAGTGCTCTAATTCCTGCCCTGGTTTCTACACATTGTAGCAAAGTAATGCTCCAAGTGGGGGACTTTGGACTTCAGCTGCTTTAAGGGCCCCGGGGCCTTCCAACCAAATCCTTGGACTCAACTTACTGATGTGTTTGCCTAATAAAATTCTTTTTGTAATGATTTCTCATTTAATTATTTTTTGCTCTCTATTAGCAAAGCTTTTAACTTATTTCATAATTATCCAAGGTTGTATATATGTATCCCTTTCACCCCACCAGCTAGCACTCACATATAGAGGATATTTCTACGCTAATATCACTTTCTTATGCTATCCTTTTCAGACCCATGTTAGGTAACATACAGTGTCTACACTTGCAGGCAGTATAGACAAAGATACATGTAGGGCCATTTCCATAGCAAAAGGAAAAGCATACTTACAGAATTTTTATTAGGGGCTACAAATTAAATCAGCACATACCTGCCAGATTTAGGACAATAACTGCTTAGCCTTACTTAACAAATTCTTAATACCCCATAAAAAGCCTGGTAGATAACTTTTCAGACATGGGCCATCCACTAATGATAGGTTTCTGATGTTAAAAATGACCGTATTAGATCCCATGTACTACTTGAAACCATGTATCCAAGGAGCTTTATATTTAAGAGAGTGAGTGGACAGCATTTCTTATATTGTGAGACCCACTTCCATTTTATGGACACAGATCAGTTTGTACTATGTTTGTATTTTTAGAAATAACTCTTGAGAACCTACTTAACCAGCTTTTAAATTATGAGTAGGCTAACCTGAGAAATTCTTCAAAAAAAACTAAGTATACTTTAAAACATAATTCCACCTTAAGGTCAGTTGAAGAGAAGCATCTAAGAGTTTAAGAAGTGGAAAGACACAGTCAGGGAAAGGGAAACAGGAAGTGCCCCTGTCCGCCTCTAGCTGGAGGAAAGATCTGGAGGAGCCCGTCTTGGAGACACAGGGAGGGGCACTGCTGGGTGTCAGCCAAAGAAAGCCTGGTTACCCCACCTAACCTTTCCTGGTTCCCTTGGGTTGTGATTGTCTAGGAATATAGGTGAGACCCCTGGCTTTTTGAGTGGCTAGGTTCAAAGCCACTCCCATCCCTTAGCTGTGGATATGTGAGCCTGGCAATTTCCCCAGGGCTTTGGGCCTCGGCTTCCTCACCATAGTGCCTAGCTCAGAAGATGAGAGGGAGGACTCTAGAGAGTATATGGGGAAGTGCCTAGCTTTGCATCTGGCACAAGGAAGGTAGTTATTTTTTCCAGTTGCAGCTGGTAAGGATATAAAAGATGTACCTAGCCCCACCACCTCACCTCATTCACAACATTTTTATTGCAATATAATGAACAGAAAACAGAATATATCAGAAATACACAGCTTGGTGCATTTTTATAGATGGAATATACCTTCAGCATCAGCACCCAGATCAAGAAACAGAACATTAGAGACCCCAGGGCCCCCTGTGTCCCTTCCAATAACCATCTTCCCAAGGGTAACTACTATCCTGACTTCTAACAGTACAGATTGGTTGTGCCTAGTTCTTTTTTTTTTTAATTACAGAAATGGAATCCTGCAGTGTGTACTCCTTTATGCATTTTCATCCTTGTTGCCGTGTATAGTCCTAGATTATTCATTCCTCTTACCTCTTACTGTTGGCATATTACTGTGTATACATGCCACAACTTATGTATCTATTCTACTGTTGATGGGTAACCAAATACTCTGGATATCTTGATTAAACAGTCTTATACACATCTTTTGGTAAGTATGTCTTCCTATTTCCATTGGTATTCTATCCAGGACTGGGGCCCCTGGGTATGTGCATGTCTAACTTTAGCAGATATAGCCAGTTTTCCAGCATGGTTGTATCAGTTTATATTCCCACCCACAAGGAATGAGAGTTTCAGGTGTTGCACATCCTCCCAGCCTTAGCATTGATCACCTCTTCACTCCTTGGTTCTGGAGGGTCTGTAGTAAGTATCATGTAGTGGTTTTAACTTTTGTTTCCTGCTGAGTAATGATGTTGGCTACCTCTCCATATGCCTGTTGGCCGTTTGGGGATCTGTTTTGGTGAAGTGCCTGGTTGAATCTTCTGCCCACTGGTTAACCCCCTCGTTTACTGGTAAAATAAACCGAATCTTAGAGAGGAGGTGACCCAAGGTCACCCACACTACCTAAGAAACTGAGGCTCAGTGAGTTTATGTGACTTGCCTAAGGTCACACAGCTAGTAGGAACAGAGCAGTGCCTGAAGCCTGGGCCTAATAACTCCAGGGTGATTTAAATTGTACATGGGACTACTAATCATGTAAAATATTTGGTAAAAAAAAATTTTTTTTTTAATGATTTGAGAGCTGTGGGCATTTTGTAGTCGCAAGCGTGAGCATGGGACAGAAAGGATAGTCCATTACCCGCCCTTCCCCCTCCTCCCTTTCTGCTGCAATTATGTATTGAGTATTGAGTGCCTATTCTATGCCAACAGCTATTTTGGATGATGGGAATTTATTAAGGCAAATGGGGTCCTAGGCACAGGGAAGATTGCAGATTGTGCATTCCCTTCCTTTGCTGTGTTCATGGTGGTTTGTGGAACAAAAAAGAGGACCACCCTTTATTTCCTCTCTACCACTTACTAGCTCTGCAATCCGAGGCTAGTTTCTTAAAATTTCTAAGCCTCTGCGAGGCACAGAGTATGCTCTTGATAAATGGTAAAGCTCTTCCTGCCAATGTATAAACTGGCTTATTTAGGTACCCACGAGGTTTGGAACTGGGCCTCAAAGGGGGCACTGCATTGTAAATAAACTGCTCTCCCAGGCAGCTGCTAATCACACAATGGTCCTCCTTTGCAAGATTTCCCCA